AGAAGATGGCCCCAAGATGGCCCAAGAAGCCCCAAGAGGCCTCAAAGACGACAAAAGAAGCCCCCACGAGGGCCTCCAGGACGGCGAACAGAAGCAAACAAACATTGACTTTCAAAAGGTGTTTGAAGGATTTTGGAAGTTGTTTCTTCTCGGTCTTCCGACAGCCCGAGACGGCCGGAAGGCGCCAAGAGTGCCCTGAGAGGCTCCAAAGATGCCCCCTCCAAATCATCCTCCTCCTCCTCCTCTTCCTCCTCCTCTTCCTCCTCCCCCTCCTTATATTCCTCGCCATCCTCCACAAAGAGTTCCCCGAAGGGTTTCCACAACGACTGGTGGAGCACATGATTCGATAGCGTGGCAAAGCTCTGGTCACAACGTTCGGCCGCGTGGGCGATTCCAAAAAGCAGGGGGCGGCGGTGATTCGACGTAGGCGTCTTCGACCTGGATTGCGGATCCGTGGGCCGACGGTCGAATGAACAATCGTACCCCCACGAAGCACGAAGCCAATGCCACCCCATCTGGCGACGGCCACCCCATTCCCCCCCCAGTCACGTCACGATTGCGCTGGCGCTGTCTGGGAATAAGCCATCCCTATATTCATCCCCAGACGGCGCAGGTGAGAATCACGACGTGACTGGCCCCCCCTTCGCACCCCCTTGGGGGGCAGCAGCATGCAAATCCCAGCTGCGCCGCAAACCTCCCGCGCCCGCAAGTACCCGCGGCCCTTTGACAACGGGTGCGGCATCCAGCGCGCTGCGCAGCTTGGCGGTGCTAGACTGCGCCGGCGCGCGGGGCGCAAGGGGTGCAAGCAGCCCAGGAGCGGAAGCGCAGGACAAAAGCGACTGCGCCTGCCATGGCGGCGCATCGCAGCGAGACCTACGACTTGCGCGCGCAGCGGGGCGCGCCGCCGTCTGCCCCGCATGCGCGATCGCGGCGCGCCTGCACGGAAACGCAATCGCGCGCGCCGCCAGACGAGGAGAAGAGCAATCAAACAAAAAAAACGCGCGGGGCGGCGCGCGCGGGCCGCCCTGCTCATGGGGCGGCGCGCCACGGAATGAGCGCGCGTGCCCTTCGCGCGGGGCGCGCGCGTCGGATGAGCGAAATCCGGGGGTGGCCCGCGGACCCGTCTTGCCCGCCTGCGCGCGGGCCTGGCGCGCGCGCGGAAGTTGTGTCCGCGCGCAACGCAGCAGGCACTGCAGGGTGCGCGTTCACTCTTGCTCTCGGATGTTTCGTGCGCCCACTACAAAATCTAGCTGCGCCGTAAACCTCCCGCGCCCGCAGGTGCCAGCAGCCCTTGGACAGCGAGTGCGGCACCCAGCGCGCTGCGCAACCTGGCGGGGCCAGGCTGCGCCGACGCGCGGAGCGCAAGGGGTGCAAGCAACCCAGGGGCGAAAGGGCGGGGCAAAAGCGATTGCGCCTGCCATGGCGGCGCATCGCAGCAAGACCTGCGACCTGCGCGCGCGCCGAGGCGCGCCGCCGTCTGCCCCGCATGCGCGGTCGCCGCTGCGCGCGCGCCCCGCGCTGGATTCGATGCGCCCGTCACAGTTTCCGTGGCTCCATGACGGGAGGGACTCGACCTAACGCCCCAATTGCAGCGTCCGCGTGGCGGCCCCGCCTCATTTCGGCACACCCTTCTGACGCTTCGTGGCCCTATCAGGAGATCCACCAGAAACGGCACACATAACGATGGCACTCACAACTGCATGTGGTTGGTTGGGTCATTCGCCAAGATTTTGTTCGTAGGCGCGCAACGTAGCCGAGAGGAGACTCGCGTGCACCCAACGCTGCTTTGTGTGCGCGCACACATCCCGCGCCCGCGCAAGGACCGCACTCAAGCGGGCAAGACGGGCCCTCGGGCCATCTCCCGCTTTCGCTCACCCGACGCGCAGCGCCCCACGCGAAGGTTGCGCGCTCATTCCTCAGCGCACCGATCCGAGAAGGACGGCCCGCGCGCGCCGCGCCGTGAGTTTATCTGGCTTGCGCGATCGCAGCTCTGTGCAGGCGCGCGGCGGCGATTGCGCGTGTGGGGCAGAGCGCAGCGCGCCTCGGTAGGCGCGCGCGTAGCAGGTCTCGCTGCGATGCGCCGCCATGGCAGGCGCATTCGCGTTGACTGTCGTCGCGGCGTCCTGTCATGGCTGCCTGTCTGCCCGTTGCTGTCTGTCGCTGTCGTGGCTATTTGGCTGTCGTCTCGTCGCTGTCTGGCGTGTCTTCATGTCGTGGCAGTCTGTCGCGGGTGCCCGTCGTGGCTGCCTGCTGTGGCTGTCGTGTCGTGGCTGCCTGTCGCAGCTGTCAATCGTGGCTTCCTTGGCTTGCGCCGCGGCTGCCTGCCGCGCCTGCCTGGCTGCCGTGTTGCGGCTGTCCGTCGTGGCTGCCTCGCTGCCGTGTCGTGGCTGTCAGCCGTGGCTGCCTGACTGGTCGGCCGTCGTGTTGGAGTTGTCTGGCTGTTGCGCCGCGGCTGGCGGGTTTCCCTGGCTGTCTAGCTGTTCGGCTGTCGCGTCCTGGCGTCCTGTCGCGGCTGTCCGTCGGTCGCGTCGCGGGCGTCGCGTCGTGGCTGTCTTGCTGTCGTGACGTGGCTGTCTAGCCCGTCGTTCGCCGCCGCGCAGATTCATACCCCGCTCCCTCCTCCGCCAAGCGCAGGTGTTTTCGTCTTCGACCGCGACGAATTCCTCTCACTTGTTTTGCTGGCTCGAGGTCAGGACATTTCTTCCGCCGCGGGCTGGCCCGCGGCCGCACGTGGCCACGCGGGGCCACTGCGGCACTCGCAGGCGCGCGGGCCCAGTCAGCCCGGGCGCACCGCGGCTCTGGGACGCAGTCGGCCCCGAGGCAGGTGCAGGCCAATGCGGCTTGCTATTGTACGGGCGCGTAATTGTCCGTCGGCCCCCTTGTGGCCACGCAGGGCTAATGCGGCCCTCGAAGGTGCGCGGGCTCATTCGGCCCCTGCGCACGGCGGCTCTGGGGCCCAGTCGGCCCCAGCCGCAGGTGCAGGCCAATGCGGCTCGTCATCTCATGGGGGCATGTTGTCCGTCGGAACCACGTGGCCAAGCGGGGCCAATACAACCCTCGTAAGTGCCCGGGCCCATTCGGCCCGGGCGCACGGCGGCGCTGGGGCCCAGTCGGCCCCAGCCGTGGGAGCAGGCCGATCCAGCTCGTCATCTCACGGGCGCGCATTGTCCGTGGGCCTCGCGTGGTGACGCGGGGCCCATCAGGTGCACGGGCGCACGTCCGTCGGGCACGTCGCGCCCATGTCGGCGGCCTCGGGACCGAAACGCCCCCGCCCCCGCAGGTGCAAGCCCATGCGGCGTGTTCTCTTGCTGGCGCTTGTTGCCGATCGGCCCCAGTGGCCATGCGGGGCCAATGCGGCCCCCGCATTCGCGCGGGCTCTCGGCCCGCGGGCGCTCTGCGGCTTTGGGCGCTCTGCGGCTTTGGGACCATTGCGCATCGCGGTACGGCCGTTCCCGTTGCATTGCCACGTCGTCGTTCCGTCAGCGTTCGACGCGGCAACTGCTGAAAGCTAAATTGCGCGCGGGTCCGCAACACTCCGCTTCGCGATGGCCGAAGTTCAGCCGGAGACCTTTCGCGCTTCTCGAGCGCATTAAGGCGGCGGGCGCGCGGGATGGCGCCTGGTTCGACTCGGTCGCAGCGGCGCCGGCGGCCGAGAGCGTCTCCGCGCCCTCAGATTTGGCCGGGGCCGAGTTTGAAGTCTCTCGCCTCCAGGGTGCAGACCTGGACGGAGGAAGAAGCGATGCGTCCGCGAGGCCATCAAGCTTTCGGCGGCGAGCGAGGGGGTGGGAAGTGAGAAGGGGCGGGCCTTCTCAGAAGGCTCGGAAGTCCCCCGGCCTTCTGAGAAGTTTTCCTAGCTTTCCCCAAAGACACAAAAACTTCTCAGAAGGCGCGAAAGCTTCTGAGAAGTGCCGCCGCCTTCTGAGAAGGCCTTCTCCTTCTCATCTCCCCCCTCGCTCGCCGCCGAAACGATGCGTCCGCGAGGCCATCGAGCTTGCTGCGCGCGAACAGGTCGGCGCGCCCGCGCAGCCAGAGTCGCGCGCGCGCCTGCTCGCGCGCAGGGCGAGTCCAAGCGCAAGAAGCAGCTGGCGGCTGCGGGGTCGGCCAGCGGGGGCGCCGGCGACGCCCTCCCCGCAGATCCCCAGACGAGAAACGAGTTGCCTTTTTCGACGCGCTGAAGCGCGCCCGCCACCGAGAAGCGCTGCGCGCGTCGCGTCGCGGACGCCCGCGACGGTCCGCGCGGACATCCGAGCTTCGCCCAAGAGCGCGAACATCGAAGGTTGCCCCAGGGCCTGCCCATGGGGCCGAGACTGAGGCAAAACCTGCGATATGTTGGACGGAACACCCATTCGGAGACTGAAACCAGCCCGACACAGCTCGGACAAGGCTGCCGGGGCTTGCAAAGCTGGAGGAAGACTGGCCAGGGCTGGAAAGAGTAGAGCGAAGGGCTGGCCCTGGACACTTCCCAGTTCCACACTCTTCCCATGATTATTTCCTGAGCATCCTCTGACCGATCCCCATCCCCACTGCCATGGCCTTGACCCCACTCGCCGACTTACCCCCCTGGCTGGGGATAGATGCTGTTCCCTCCAGGTTTAGCGGGAGGTCTGAGAATCCATGGCCCACTGGAGATGTGGATCGGTTAGCGATGCTGATTTCCTCGGCCTAGCGCAGGGGGCAACATCGAGCTGGGATCCGCAATACATCGCCAACAGACAGGCGATATGCCCCCGATAGCGAATCCGAAGGTTCCTGGGCAGGGTGGGCTATCAAGCCCCATCGGCGATGCATGCCCCCCCCCCGTGAGTCTACCCTCCCCTGATAATTTTTGCCCGTGGTTTTGCGGCTCGCCTCCCCTGGCCGTCCGGGACGATCCGGGCACCTATGGAACGCTCTCGGCGAGGCGCAGTCGCTGAAGGCATCCCGAGGCCGCCGAGAACTGACGAAATCGTCCAGAAATCTCGAGCCTCGGCACCTCCAAGACGCTGCCCCTGACCACAGTCCTGGTGGCGTTGTGCCCCGCCTTCAGGAAGGGCAGCTGCTCCCCGGAGCCCGCGTGCGCGTCCAGAGCGCCCCACAGCGCGCGGCAGGCGCACGGCATGGCCAGCCATACGGCGCCGCGAGGCCACGCCATTGGGACAGGGTCTGCGGGGGCGGAAGTGCGGGGGCGGACGAGACGGGGGGAGAGAGGGGGGATAGTTGTCCTGGAAGTTTCCTGCAAGTTTTTATGCCGCTGGATGCGCTCCAACAAATTGCACCTTGCCGCGAGAGCGTTCTGGGATTGCCCGCATCGCCCCGAACGGCCGCCAGACACCCAAACTATGACCCCAACACCGAGTAGCCCAAAGGGGGGGGGGGGGCGAACTAGCTCACATACCGCGGGTTTGTGTCGTGCCGACCCTGGCGTTGGTCCCTGACACCGCGGGGATCCTTCAATCTAGAACGGTCGACCGTTTCCGAAACGTCAAGTCGTTCAACATTGACCGATTCCGGGGAAACAAAAGATACCGCTACCGCTACTCCGCCGACAGGGACATACGAGTACTATGCGTCTTCCTTGGAGGCGTGCGTCCGACCCGAACATATGATGGCAGATTTCGGATAACCCAAAATTATGTTTACGTCCGCCGCCTTCCGCCGAGCGTCCGCCGGCGGAGGCGGCCTCGTTTTACTTCCGCCGACCTTCCGCCGCGGAAGAGATGACAACTCCTTGGATCCTCGCAGGCACGCCCCGGTGTGGCCAGAAAGCGCCCGCCAAGGCGCATACACTGTAAGACGACTTCTCGGTGCGCGCGTCGCCCTTAGGGGGGGGGGCGGGGGGGCGAGGCACACCTAGTATTAGTGTGTTGGGGTGACGCCGAGTTACAGCCCCGTGTCGTCCGACCCGAGAGTTGGAGGCAAGACGGCGGCCCAAGATCTCCGAAGGACAACTTCTCTTCCGTCGCGGCGCGCCTTTCCTGGGCTTCGGCTCCCGGGGCCCGCTTTTTTCGGCCCTGGGGCTAAGCCAAATAATGCCCCAGGGACGGACCAGACAGCCCCCAGCCAGTGAGGCGGGCGGGACACTGGGGCCGTGGATCGAAAAGCGCGCCGTCGGGTACCCGGGAACGGAGGGGGGCGAAAGGGAGGCCGCCCAGCTGTAAAGTAGCAACTGTTGAGCCAGGGCTGGCTGCGAAGTCGCTGGGCGTCGGCCCTCGCCGCGCCACGCGTCTCGCCTCTGCAATCGTGGAGGCGTGTCGCATTCAGAGCGCGGCTCTTGCGTCCTCACCGCGTTCGTCCAGCGGTTGCACGGGTAAAGCACAAGTAGCTTTCAAGCGTGGCTCAGGCCTGGGCGCAGGGTGCACCTGTCCGAAAGCTTTGGGGCAGCTGGGCGGGTGGAGGGCGGTCGCTGCCGAAAGAAAAAAAACTTCCGATCGGAGGTCCGCGATGATGCTGCTCGCCCTGCTGCTACCATGCAGCGCAGCATGCGCAGATTGGGATTTTCAGTGCCATGGCCAGCGATCCTATTCAGCGGAGAGCGGCACGTGCCCGAGCATCGGGAGGGAGGTGGGGAGCGAGGGCCGGTCCGTCACCGCCCATGCGTGCACGTGTCTGTGAAAAACTGCGCAGCAATTCCGACGATGCACGGGCGGCTCTTAGGGGACGCATCGCCCTGACTCGACACTTGCGTCTGTTTCATGTTCCCGATTCGCAGTCGAGCCCCACCCGCCTGCTTTGCACGCCCCTTGGGCGCTCGCCTTTCAAGGGGCGCTCCCCTCAGTGGAAGCTGAGACTTTCCGGAACTCATGAGGAAAGATCTTCGGACGGGGCGGGATGGTATAGTATCCTGCTCTTCCGCTTCCTCCCGTCCATCCGTATCAATCCCCTCCTCCTCCTCCTCCTTCAAACGCCATCCCCAACTCACAATCCCCACCTGCCCTCACTTCTTTTCTTTCGCCCCACCCCCATCTCTCTCCTCTGGCTCCTTATCATATTTCTAATCCTATTCCTAAGCCTACTTGTAATCCTCCTGCTCCTGATCCTACTTCCAATCAGGATTCTACTCCTAATCTTACTTATAATCCTATTCCTAATCCTACTTCTAGTCCTCCTGCACCCCGTCGTCCTTCTAGGCACCTCCTCTCAATCGCACCACCAGGCGTGCCGTCAGGGTGGTCTGGGCGCTTCGCCTGAGAGACTCCTCCGGCACTCCGGATCTCGAAGCCGGAAGTTCCCGAAACGTTCATCTTTGGAGCAAAGGTGGTTCAACATTGGACTCTAGCAGCGGAACCGCGCACGCTTGTCTGAAACGATCTAAGAACGACAAGGATGGAGGAGTGGTTTGCAAAATGGGGCTTCACGACCAGGAAACATAATGATCAAAAAAAGGGTAACAGGTAACTGTATTGAAGGCGGCACCTTTCAAACATGCTGCTCTCAAGTTAGATGTCAAAGACAGGTGTGGCAGCACCTCTGAAAGTGTGCAACGCTTGTGATGGAGGACGTACCCTTTTCAACACGAAGCTATCGCTGGACACTTCCTTGAACATTTGACCCTACCTCTGTTACATCACAAGGTCTCGCCTGAATGGCCGTCTCTGTGCACCCCTGCCTCTCAATCGCGCCATCTGCAGCACCCTCCCTCTGCGTCCTCTCTCTTTCTCTCTTTCATTGCTCTCTCTCTCTCTCTCTCCCTCTCTCTCTCTATCTGCTCTCTTTCTCTCTGTCCTCTTCACCCCGTCCTGACATCATCATCCTTCGCCTCCCTCCTCCTCCTCCTCCTGTTTCCTGCCCTCCCCGCTCGCTTCACCGGCCGCATTCTTCACGTTTTGTGTCCATGCTGCTGGATTTCTCGCCGTGCCTCTCAAAAGTCACCTCCGTCCGCTGGCCATGTGCTGATCCGCCTCCTCGCCGCCACCTCTCCTTCGCGCCCCGTCCAGCTCTGCCTCTGTGCTTATTCTCTCTCGCCGCCTCTTCCTCTGCCCCATGGTCTCTGTTTCCACACTTCCCACCTGCTCCAGCGCATGGGCCCCTACTATCCGCGCGCGCTGTTGCGCCTTCTGGTAGCCTGGCGCTCGGGCGAAGGTCGGTGTCGGGAACCTTCATGCCACACCTGGAGAGGTGGGGTTGATGCAATGTGCGACGACGCCGGACGAGTACCATGAGGAGATATGGAGGCAACTCATGGGAGGCCTTCGTGGGAACGGGCTCGGCTGCGGAGCTATAAGATTGAATGGAATCAGACAGAATTAGCCCGGCGAAGGACCCAATCATAAGCAGTTGGGAGTATCGTCTTCGGTAGAACCCCATATGGGGGCCACGAAACGTGTGATGTACCGAAATGGGCGCGGTGACCGCATGCGACAGCAGCCACTGGGGTCTTCGGTGCCACGAAACGGGTGAGGGGTGTGCGGACGTGGGTGCGGTGGGCGCATGCGAACGCAGCCACTGGGGCCTTCGGGTGAGCTCCCTATATGGCCACGAAGCGTGTGAGGGATGTAATGACATGGACGGAGCGGACGCATGCGAACACCGCAACTGGAGCGTGCAACGGCCAGTTCTCCGGTGGAGTAAATCAAGTGAGACTCGACCAGGTGTCCTTCGCGCCTGCACTCGGCTCCGAACACCTCGAACCAACAAAAACGCTTCCACCTTTTGGGGGCACATCTTTACTTCTGTCGCACCCGCCAACCTTCCGCCGGCTACCACTGGCGGACCCGCCGCCGTTTTATTCTCGCCGGCTCCGCGGACCTTCCGCCGCCTTCCGCCGTAGAAGAGTTGCCAACTCCATCAATCCTCCAAGGCAAGGAGCTTTCTGTAGCGCGCCATGAAACACACGTGCCAGAAACATGCCAGATACCCGCGCATTTGTGCACGTGTGGATCCGCCGGCCACACGGTTGACCCCTCCCAAACCTTGGCGCCTACGCGCGTGTAAACACGTGCCAGGTGCACACGAGCTAGACACTACTCCCTTCGCGCGCGTATTCTGCAAGTGTGAGAAGCCGAGTGCCCCATGTGCGATGCTCCCCCCAGGGTCCCTGACGTCTACACGCGTGACGGCAAGCGCCAAATGCAGGCTGAGGCGCCTGTTTGGATGTCCCGCCGTGGCGCCTCCCTCCCCCCCGTGCACGTATTTGCACGTGCGGGATCAATCCGACGCTCCCCGCTTTGCTTGGCACGCCCGAAAGAGGTACGGAACATATTCTACAATGCCAAATCGCCAATCTGGCCCAAAACCAATAGTCGCACGCACCCGAGGAAGGAATCGAGCAGGGAATGGGGGTTCGGGGTGGTCTCTCCCCCATCGAAATAGCGGCCGCTGTTGGACAGGCGACGTTTTGACCCAAATAGACAACGTGCGCGGCAACACCGACAGAGAGCCCCGCTCACATGGGACAAGAACTGCTGTCGGTCTTCGCCCCCAGTCTTCCAGTAGAAATTTCGATCTTGCCGATTTGCGCCCGTCCGATCTAGAGCAAAGGGCCGACGCACAAAGATAACCACAGGCCGGAACCCTTGCCAGGAACATGGCATGGAACTGCCCGCCGTGTGCGCTGGATCTCTTTCCTGGCCATCCACGTCGACACCAAAATCGAAAACCGACAACAGCGAAACCGAAACCGACCGAAGCGACAGGCCGCAAACAGCCTATGGCGCGGCGACGCAGCAACGACACGACCACGGACGGATCCAATCAAACCGAACACAAGCGACTGCGACGCAGCCGACCCGAGCGAAACGCGGACACCTTGGGTGGCCCTCGTCGCCTGGTTTCCGGGTCATCACTCTAGACTCCGTTGGCCGATCAGGACGATTCTGGCATCCCCGGGACGCTCTCGACGAAGCCCAGCTGATGGAAACCACCCTGCGCTCCGAAGACTACCGATCATGTCCGCAAACCTTCCGGACGCCTGCGAACTTTCGAAGCCTGCGAAAAGGACACGCGGCAGCCGACGAAGTCCTCCCTGCGTCGCGCGGCGCGGCGCGCGACGCAAAGGCCGCCCGACCCCCGACGGGAAGGCGCCCCCGGCGGGCGCCGCCTCCCGAGCAGCTCGGGCGCCTCCTGGAGCGCACATCGGCTGGCGAAGGGGAAGAGAGCGGAGGAGGAGGGGCGAGGGCGAGGGCGCGGGCGCGGGTGCTGCCTATCGCCCGCCGTGGGGCCTCTTCTGAGGCAGACTCGTCTTGCGCACGGCAGGTCGCACAGTCCTGAGTCTTGTCGGATGGTGATTTAAGCTCGATCCCGTTCGACCTTCGGCCCGACACCGGTTCGCCGCCGCCGCCGCCCGCCTCCCGAGTCGTGCGCATCCCCTCCTGCTCGGACGCCCCCTCCTCCCCCCCCTCCCGGTCCTCACGGTCCTCCTCCCTCCCCCTCCCCCTCCCCCTCCCCCTCCTTCTCCTCCTCCTCCTCCCTCCTCCTTCTCCTCCTCCCCCTCCCCCTCCCCATCCGCCCCTCCCCTCCTCCGCCTCCTCCTCCTCCTCCTCCTCCTCCCTCCTCCTCCTCCTCCTCCTCCTCCTCCCCCTCCCGCCCTCCTCCTCCTCCTCCTCCCACTCCCCCCCCGCCCTCCTCCTCCGCGGGCTCTGTCTCGTTCCGTCTGGGTGCTCCATCTGCGCAGGGCGATCGGCGGGCCTCCAAGCCCGGCCCCTGCGCCGGGCCTCGGAGCCTGGCCCCACGCGCTCACCACGCACGCCGCCAAGGCGGGGGAGCAGAATGGAGTGCCGCTGCTTCCACGTTGCCCGCTCCATTAGCCATGACTCAAGCACTCAGGCGGTGGGGCCAGGCATGAGGATCCTCTTGAGTGGTTTGCAGTAACCCTCATCGCCTCCCTCGTGATCTTGGGGGTCACCTTCCTGCCTCCCCCTCGCAGGCCCTCCTCCCGCCCCCTGTTCGGCCTCCTCCTCCTCCTCCTTCTGCCTCCTCCTCCTCCTCCTCCTACTCCTCCTCCTCCTCATCCTCCTCCTCCTCATCATCACCACCATCAGCATCACCATCACCACTAGCACCGTCATCATCATCAGCAGCCTCCTCCTCCTCCTCCTCCTCCTCCTCCTCCTCCTCATCATCATCATCATCATCATCATCATCACCATCACCATCACCATCACCATCACCATCATCATCATCATCGTCATCATCATCATCATCATCACCATCACCATCACCATCACCATCACCATCATCATCATCAGCAGCAGCAGCAGTCTCATCATTATCGTCATCACCATCACCATCATCATAATCATCACAATCATCAGCGTAAGCATCATCATCAGCATCACCATCCT